AAAAAAAAAAAAAACTCCACGATGATGTGACCATGACTTTCAGAAAAAAAAACTTTAACTCGGATTTGCCGAGAGTTGGACGAAATTTGCACATCAGAAAGGTTTAGACGGAAAACCAGGTTCCAGGATTAGAGCTTAGAGACAAGCTTAGTGTCTTCATATCAGCGGCATCCTGGAGAAACAATTCTATTCTTAAAACCACCTTTTATGTCTCCGCATAGCTGGAGGACAGAGCTGCACTGTTGACAGAGCTTTGTCATGGACATAAACAGGCGGCATGCTAAACGGGTACTAATAAACTGGTGTTTATGCATAATTTAGCTCTCATTCAGGTCTAATTCATTTTCTGGTCTTATAACTGGACCAGAAATCTTATTATTTGTGTAAAAAAAATCGCTATAAGAAGTTGGTATACGACCCCGTGGTTGACACAAAGCGCCCTTATCGGCTTGCCATAAGCAAAAAGCCACGACCTCTAACAGACAACTCCTAAACGACGCCTGGAAACTCAAGCGAGGTCGAAAAGGTGACAAAAGTCAAGACCCTGTAGGAGAAGAGGAAAGCTTGAGGGCAAGTTCAACCTGTGACGGAATTATTCTGCTGCACTCTCAGATCAAAATAAGGAAAAAAATAAAATAAAATAAATGAAAGTCTCCTGTGGGTTTTAAGAAGTCTTGACAGCGACACAGTAACATACAGATTCTGAACCCTGAATGAATGCGATGACGGGTATGAAGGGGATGCTGTCTTTAAAAATCGTCCATGAACAGAGAGAATTCGACAAAAGTTTGGCTCATCGCGTTTAGTTTTGATGCAAAATTTACACAAAATCTAAGCTTGAAATGTTGCTTCAAAATCACTTTTTTTTCTACTTAGAAAAAAAAAAAAAAAGCAAAAATAAACCATAACTTCTGTTTAGTGAAAGTACATACTGTGTTTTCGAGCAGTAGTAGCTCCTGTGGGTACTTAGATCTTTATTTATTAATTTTAAATACATTTCAATGAATAAATATCAAAGAAAATTAACTTTTTTATCAATATACTTTAGGACATTATAACGATCTAAACACACTTTGGAGTTCTGTCTACTTATAGACCTATAGACCGTCTTGTTGTGAAAAATGAGCCCACAAGTGTCCTGCTTAAGGCTCAGCGGTTAACATTTGTACATTTAGGCACATTGTTTCTACCACTGGCATCATTGTTGGTCAGACAGTCAGCTGGCAGGAAATGAATCAACACATATTTTGACAATCGATGAATTACTTCCCTGTGGGTTCTGGGACGTTATTCGATTTATTGCTCTAATAAATGAATTGATAGCAATAAATAATCTTAATTTAACCACAATGTTCGTCTTATAGTACATGAGCTGACTGTAGGAGTGGATGGGGTTTAGCTAACTGCTGTTAAGTCAAGCTAAAGAAACAACAGAAGCAAATGGCTGGTTTCCCATAGAACATGTTAAGAGGCGAACTTATTTTAGCTTTGCTCAATGATGCACGACTTTCTTTGGATCATTTTGGAGTTAAAATGTCTGTGAATTCTGTGATATCTACATGTGGAATGATTCTTAGGAAGGTTTGGAAGCCATAGAAAGTCCTGGTCTCACGCTCATTCACGTCTTTGTCTCTACGCCGCCAATTACAGAGAGTCTTCTTCCTGAAGGTGGCGTCAACAGCAGCCGCTCATTCACAACTACAGCCACTGAAACAGCCGAAGCTTTTAAAAACACATTCTGGGAACATATGAGACTTAATTTTCTGAAAAAGGGGGCAAAACACGAGATGATGACGGAGCAGCGAGGACGAGTGCTGCTTTGATTAGAGCTGATTGTCACCAGAGGACTGGACTCACTGAGGGTGAGCTACATTATAAAGTGAAGCTCATAAAAAAATACAGGAATAATGGAGAGGGCACTGAGGGACTCTCAAATCTAAAACCGGCAGCACCTGCAGCAGAGAAGTGCTGACGCCCGCACCGCCGCCGACGTGAAAACGCTTCAGCGGACACAAAGAAACGTGGGTTTGCATCTGCAGACGGACCTGAAGGTTGGCTGCGGTCATGTTAAGTACATTCTGTTAACAAGTGAACGAGTTTCCCTTTGAGCACCGACGTTTTTAAAAAAAGACTTAATGGATTTAGCTCGACGGCGGTGCAGCGTGTGCAGCTTTTTAGATTCGTGCATTTGCTAGAGTTTGGGTCTGATCAAGGTAACTTCCTTCTTATTCAGCAACAGGTTTGCTGAAGAAATCAACAGACATGAGGTTAGAGCAACAAGGTTAGAGAGACATTATGGGCTGGGACTGTCGCACTGGAGTGTTTTTTTATTTCCTATTTCACAAACAGAAACTACTGGGTCAGTGCAGATATAACAAGTACAGCCGGTGAACTTTATGTTGCTCTTTCATAAATTGCTTTTTGAATAGATTATGCAAAAAAAACAAACTGCCCCAGTAATTAAACAACAGAATCATATGAGGAAACAGCACGAAGGTCTCAGCCCACAACACCGACAAAGGATGTCTGTCATTCAATGAACGCCAACAAAGGACGGAGAAGTTCAGGAAGTCGACGTCGTGATCTGACCGTGACTTTGTGCTGTCCGGTGAGGTTGGGCCATTCACACAGCAGCTGGCTCTCGGACAGGGTGAGGATGCAGGGGGTCTCTCCAATCAGCACCGTGTAGTTCAGGCGACTGTTGCCCGGCGCCGCCGGGATCAGGTTCCGACCCTAGACGCAGCCAGAGAGAGACAAGCGATGAGAGGAGGCGTCGGGCTCATTAACGCCTGCTTCATTTTCACACAGACATTTATAACACCTCAGCAAATTAATTGTTTTTTTTTTAATTGAACTACAAAACTGTCACTTTCAGAATTACTCTCGACTGTAAGCGTCTCGTTGGCTAACAGCGTTTTTCACTCTTGTTTCTGTAAATGAATAAACAAGTCGCTGACAATAAAGCCACTCGTTTGTTACCCTGTTGAAGGATGAGGCCGGTGACTGCATCATTTTCCTCGTGCAAACAGTCAAAATCAAATACTTTAGAGAGACTATACTAAAAATG